GTTTCTTCCCACCGCAGCCTCGCTTTCATGTTTTAAAATGGCGGCAGCGTAAAATAAGTGAATTGTGTGGAATACAGCATTTTTATAGTGTATATAGTTGTGACAACAGAATTCGCTTTCAAAAAGTTAAAGGGACAGTTCACCCAAAAATAAAAATGACTGGATTCCTGAAACCAGCCATTGACTTCCAAAATATTTTGTTCCCTACTACAGATGTCAATGGCTGCTGGTTCCTAATCTAATTCTGATCTTTCTATTCATCCAATTCTCTTCTTATCCACTGAATATGCAAAAAACCCTTAGTAAAGTATTATTAACTGTCTGTTCAGTATAGTTCGACACACACAGTGTGGATTTAATGAGCATAAAAATAAAGGCTATCACAAAAAATGGCACATGGCAATTCCATTTGTTTGATATCTTGTTTATAGTAACAAAATACTGTTAGTATTATGTCCATATTGCATATGTAAATATGTAAATATGTAAATATGACTGTAGTAAATGCTCATTTAGATATTACGTATTTATCCATGATATGGAATTGATATGCAGTGTGTACAGTATACGACCTCATAGTATTATAATATGGCTGTTTTTAAAGCTGAACTTCTGCATACAACAGATTTACAAAATAATACCAAACACGAAGAATTATCACATTTTAGCAAATCATGTGAAAACCAAATGTTTGATGGTAAGAAAAGAAGAGATGAGGCATGAGTCTGTGTGTCAGACACAGTGAACTGAGAGAGAGTGACAGACGGAGAGAGAAGAAAGATATAAGCACACACCCTGCAAAAAGTGGAGTGAGATAACAACACCAGCCTGTCATAAAGCTTTCTACTTTGGATTTTAAGATGGACGGGTGATAAAAAAGGGACTTAAGCTAAGAAAACTTTCCTGCACGAGTCTTTGAAAGAAGGCTGTATTTCATATTCACTACTGGAACAAGTGGAAAGTGGATTTATTTTTAAGGTACAAGAAATCCCAGATTTAGGTCATTCTCTGTGTGTGGTGGACACCACATTCAAAAGAGGATAGAAAGATCTCCAAAGAGAATTACAGGTTTAGTTACATTTTGTACACTTATATTTTATATATATATATATATATATATATATATATATATATATATATATATATATATATATATATATATATATATATATATATATATACTTATTCTGTTCACCAAAGGTATATTTATTTAGGCAATTCTTCAATAAAAAAAACATAATTATTGTGAAATATTACCATTTTGTTTTCTAATTTATATAATAAAATGTTATCTAATCATGTGATGGAAAAAATTCTTCAAAAATTCAACATTCCATTCTTCAAAATATCTTCTTTGGTGTTCAAGAGAATATAGAAATTCCTAAAGGATTGGAACCACTTAAGGGAGAGTAAAATAGTGAGCACATTTTAATTTTTGGGTGAACTATCCCTTTAAGTAAGTTTAATAGAATCTAAGTTGAAATGGCAATGAAAATTAAATTGATTTAACTTAAAAAGAAAAAAATCAAGACAGTAAATGTTACAGTGTAAATATTAACAAAACAGCAAGATGCACTGTAAACCAAAAAAATCCAAGTACAGTGTTCCTGCCATCCTTCATCATGGACCCTTTTCACATTTCCAGGTAAACTTAGAGCGCAGTAAACGAGAGAGGACAACAAATATTTATTTTACAATCCTATTTACTGAAACAATAAATGAAAAACTCTACAATGGTTTTATCAAGACTTTCAGAAAAAGGAATACATTTTGTGAGATAACCATAATGGCAACCAGTAGAGAGTAAAACTTCACATTTTCTGTCTTCTACATCAGGGGAAGACAGAAACTTCTGCATCATTTTTTATGTATGTCAGTGCTGTAAATGTGCCAGAAAGTTTAACCTGGTATTAAAAAAATCAATCTGCTGCATCTGATGCTATAGCTGTGTCTTTAATATAATGTAATTACCCCAGGTGTCGCAATCCAATACAACTAGTAACTATAAGCTACTATAGTAACTATAAAGTATATAGTAACTATAAATGACTATTGTTTCTTTTCAGTAGTTTATGTATAAATATGGTAATTCTCATTGTTTAATAAAATTAAATAGATTTTTGGAAATCACCAGGCGACCCCCCCTTCATTGGCCCGTGACCCCCACTTTGAGAACCACTGCTTTACATACTGCAGATACTGCATTTCAAACACCTCGCACAAGTGGTAATTTTTTTTTTTTTGCAATTTGATGTAAATATAATATAACACATACATAAATAAATATAAATCTAAATATTAAAAATGTCCAAGAATTTGAGATGCTGATGACCTTTAAACACGTCAGAACAGTCTTGTGAAAAGGGTCCCTCATCTTTAATGTCATTATTACCAGATAAATCCAGTCTTCAGTTGATAAGTTCTGATTCATGAACAATAAACATCCTTCTCCTGATTTAATTTATTGAATTAACATTATTCTTATCCAGACCATTTATCATTTTTGACATCTCACAAGCTTATAAACACAACAACCGCACTAAAAGACCTCTGCGAAAAAAAAAAACATCAGTTATCAAATTGCTCTTTTACCTGGACCTCGTGGTCTCTTTACCACCATCAGACCTTTTTTGACCATAACCCACTCCATCTTCAGCATTAGCATGTCAGAGCGTGCTAGAAAGGATAATCTTACCTGTCTCTGAGGTCCGTTGTTATCTGCATCTCTCCGCCGGGGCCGTCCGGAGGGCAGCGAGTGACAGGGTGACTGCGCAGGGCTCTCCATTGACGTGGACTGGCCTTTCCCACTCCTCCTGGATGTCTCTTCCTCCGTCAGTGGTAGCATCCCTCGTGTAGTCCGTTCTCCATGGGACGTTTTGGTTCTGACGGATGGATCGTTCCCTCTGTGTCTCCTCCGATCATCTCCTTCCTCCAGAGGGCGTAATTCCTCCGGCTCCTCATCCGTCGTGCCGGAAGTGGTAGGTTCGGCTCCTGGAAGGTGGTGGAAGTCTCTGAGCTCCATTTCCTTGTCTATGATCACCCACTCTTTGCTGTCGAAGTCCTCTTCTTCTGCGAGCGGGACTGAGCGGATGAAGGCATTGCTGTGGGCTTCCTGGTCCACCGATGCAGAGGCTTCATTACGGCCTCTGCAACCGTCCACCGAGAGCATCTGAGCGGGCTGAGAGGAGTAAACGTGACGAGATGGAGAACCCAGAATGTCCATTCGAGAGCTGAGAAAAGAGACATTTAGGGAAGAAATTGTTTATTGTTGGTTATTTAGGTCAATTATACATGACACAAAGCACACACTGTAGAAAAGAATTCTACTAATCTAAAATTCTACTAATTCTACTAATTCTAAAAGGACAATTCTACTAAAGTAACGAAGAGGTCATTTAAACAGAATATTATTATTATATATATATTATAAATATATATTGTGATGTGTTGGGTTGAATTGTAATTTTTGTTTCATTCTCTGAACTACCGATGACATTTTTTTCCGAGTTTAATGTAAACAATTGAAGCATGTTTTGCTGCATTATGATGGATTAAAACTACAATTGTGGAAAGAAGATATATTGAACTGTATTGGACGTGATGCAGACAGTGAAGATAGATGTGCTGTAGTGAGCTCCACTGACTAGCTTTAATATTCATTGAAAATCCTTCATTAATTTACTTTACTGATAGAATATGATTTAATTCAGACATCAGCGTCAGCGTCGAAAAGGACGTAAACCATGACCAGTTTCTAGCATTGCTAAAACAAGCGATCTCGACACGCTAGACAGCATGGCAGAGGATGTGGAAGATGAAATATCATTGCAGATTTTGTGGAAGGAGATTAAAGGTAGGCAAAAAGAAATCAGCAACAAATTGACCAGATGGCCAGTGATCTCTACACCTGACAAAAGTCTTGTCGTTAATTCCAGTTTTAAGAGCAACAAATAATAACTTGACCTTTAGTAGGTCATACTGAAAAGTGGCAGAAGGTAGATTTTTTAGATGATTCATCTGTTGAACTGCATCCCAATTATCACAAATACTGCAGAAGACCTATTGGAACCTGCATGAACCCAATATTCACAGAAATCAGTCAAGATTGGTAAAGGAACAATCCTAGTTAAATTGTGTGAATAGCAACGTCAACAGCCTGAGGTATCAAGACATTTGTGCTACCCATTACACTGCAAACCACAGGAGAGGGAAAATTCATCAGCAGGATAGCACTCCTCATACTTCAGCCTCCACAAGTTCCTGCAAGCAAAGAAGGCTAAGGTGCTCCAGGATTGGCCTGCCCAGTGACCAGACATGAACATTATTGAGCATTTATGGGGTAAGAAGAAGGAGGAGCCATTGAAGATCAATCTAAATAATCTTGATTAACTCTGGGAATCCTGCAAGAACGCTTTCTTCACCATTCCAGATGACTTTATTATTAAGTTATTTGAGTGATTGCAGATATGTATGAAATATATTTTTCCACTGCACTTTGACTTTATATTCTACACTTTAAATTATTTCTGTTAAGTGACAAGACTTTTGTCTAAGCAAAGTCAGGCCTTACTGTCCTAATTAAATATTTTAAAATCAAGGGTTACATATTTTTTATTTTGGTAAGGTAAGTGTAATCTAGAGGCCTTTGCATTGCATTTTATATAAGCCACTTTTGATGATCAACTAGAATTCAAGCTATTATTTGTTGTTCCTAAAACGTGGATAGGCGACAAGAGTTTTGTCAGGTAGTGTGTACTAAATGACCTATATTGAATCCTCTATGTCAACATTATCTGAACAGATGACTGAGATGGAAACTAGAGAAAGCGACACAGAAGATGACGTAAGAACTCTATTGTACTTGAATGAACATGCATCATCGATGGCAAGCAGAAGGACTTTGACCATCTTTGGGAACCATATACTGTATGAATTGTATGTATATTGTGTGTTTGTAAATATACACTTATTTTTTTAATTATTTTATCATTATTTGTCAAGTCAAACTAATATAGAAGGAGAAAAAAAATCCATCCGCCAGTCGGAGGGAGAGGCGGAAGGACATGCAGTAGTTCGGCATTCACGTAAGGAAAAAGGAAACTGAAACCTAACCAGAACAGAATCTCCGCCAAAACGAAACCTCCGCCAAAGCCGAATCTCCGCCAAAATTGAGCAAAAGAAAGTGCACAACAGTTAAAAAACCATCATCAAGTCCCGGAGTGGCAGCCGGTGAGAACTTTACTTTGGTTATTGCATGAAAATCGTGACTGTCATGTCAGTATTTGAGGGCAAATCAACCGTGAAGCAGCATCTGAGTTCAAGTTCGGCACAGAGGAAAAAGTTGCTCCTACAGTGCTTATCTGCCCGCTGCTTAATTACTTGAAGATACAAATAGTTATTTGCAAACTAGAAAATGTTATAAAGCAGAAATGTATAGTTTTGGTTATTTTGATCATCATTTGAGTGCTGTCTGACTGACGTTAAGATGTTAATTTTCCTCCGTGATTCATATGCATGCATGAGCAGATCACGTGCACATAAGCTGATTGCTGCAGTAGCAAAATTAATCGCATTTCATTTATATGTCTTAAAACTAAATATTTAAGTTCAGTATATTAAACTGTACTGGTGATTGTGCTTTAACAAGTGATAATTCAGTATAATACTTGAAAATACTGTGTGAAAAATCAGACAAAATTTACAAATGTTTGTATATATATGTTTATTTGCAATTTAATTACATATGTTGTATTTTTGTTTATTTTAAAGGTTTTTCACCTTTCAACTTTCAACTTTCAACTTTCTACTTTCAACTTTCCAACGTTATACTTTTTACCTGCCTTTCTGCTGCATTTATGATGCAATAAATGGATGAGTGGAATCCAGTTAAAACTCCCTTGATGATGTGTTTTCCTTTCAAGCGGGAAAACTTGTGCATAAGAGAATAGCTTGACAGTGAAAAACCGGGACCAGTGAAAAACTGGACAGTGAAAAAACGGGAAACCAGGAAAACTGGAAACCTGTTTGACTCAAAAAAGGCAAGTGAGAAGATAATATATTCAATTTGAAGAATAACTGTGAAGAATGGCCACACAGGCGGTAGGAAAGTCACTCGAACAACTAAAAGCAAAAAGGACAGTGGAAAAAAGGGCATTCACACGTCTAGCCAACACTATATTCAAAACTTGTAAAAACATGACAGAGATGGATCTTCAAGACAGTTTAAATAAACTCACAATACAAGCAGAGAAAGTCATGGAAGTAAATGATGATCTTGAAGCAGGCATGATTGCAGAAATAGAGGCAAATCTGGATACAGACCAGTCAGTTGAATTAACAGAACAGCAAAAAGACGACCTCGAGAAGACTGCAAGCGACTGTGAGTTAAAACTGGATGAAGTGAAAGTTCTTCTTCATGAAAGGTTATGGACTAGATATGGGGATGTTGAACTGTCCACGGCACTGCAGGTTGCTGAAGCTGAGAGTGATAGAGTCGAAGCAGTAGATCCAACTGGAAATCATGAAGCATACGATTTCATGCTTAGTCACCTTCAAAATCTGATAAAAAATGCAAAGGAGATGTACAGCAAATGGCAACGGTGCATCCCATCAGGTGATGAGAGAGATTTCAGCCAGAGACAAAGAGGACTCGAAGCAAACATTACCAGGTTAGTGGCAAGGAAAGCTGATTTCATGCAAGCAAGACAAGCTGAGGAGGCTAGGAATATAGCACAAGTCCCAGTGATTTCTACTTACCCCATAGCAACAATTAAGTTGAAACCTGCAACACTACCAAAGTTCTCTGGTAGCAAGAGAGATTTTCACAGATGGAAGAAGGATTGGGAGGCACTCCAAAAGCAGGGTGAGCCCACTGGCTCTAAGGAGGTCAAAAAGGTTCAGTTACTAGACAGTCTTGAAGAAAAGATTGTAAGAGAACTCCGCCTTACCACTTATAATTCTGCTGATGACATTTTTCGTGTCTTGGAAAATCGCTATGGCAACAAGACAGCAATTGCTATCGAAATAGTGGAAGACTTGCAAAAAATTCCTCCCATTAGAAGTCACCAACCACGAAAAATAGTTGAACTAATTCGAGAAGTAGAGAAGGCACTTGGAGATTTGAGTGATCTTGGAAATACTGGCGCCATAAACAACCCACTGGTAACAAAGTCGATAGAAGGAAAACTTCCTGAAAGTTTAAAAAAGGAATGGCTTATTCACGTATCTGCCCAACAGAGTGCAGTCACACCAGATAATCGATTTGACTACCTTTTGGATTTCCTCAAAAAGCAAGAGAACATCTACGAGCAATTGGAACAATTAAGACTTGAAGAACCTAACAGAAAGGATGTGCGAAATGAACCTAAATGGGCAAAAACAAAGTCTACAAAATCAAACACTGACCAGGCTGGTTGTGTAGTCTGTGGTGATGCTAAGCATAAATGGAAACTCTACTTCTGTAAGCAGTTCCGGGCATCGAAATTAGTAGATAAAAAGGCTGCAGTAAGTGCACTCGGAGCTTGTAAAAAATGCCTTGAGGTCCATGAGCAGTATTCATTCTGCAAACGAAACTACTTGTGCAAAAGCCAAGACTGTGAAGATGAGGGTGCCCCTGAGCATCACTACTATTTATGCCCTAATGCTAAAAGAGAGGAGAAACGTGCTGACCAAAAAAAGAGCAAACTTTGTCCGGAAACGGAGAAATGTGTAAAAGACTACACTAGAGATCAGCAAGATTTTCTCAGCAGACTTTCACCAGAATTAGCACAGCAGTGTAGAAATGTGTTCTCAAACACTACAGCAAGAGTGTTCAATGTGACAAAGGAAAAGCCAGGTTTACTAGCACAAAGTGGACTGCTAGAATTGCCTGTAATCATGATGCTTCTAAATGTGACAGCCAATGCTGGTCAAAAGATTGGGACATTAATTGATTTGGCATCAGACACTAATTACATAACGCACAGCGCTGCTGATCGTCTGAACCTAAAAGGAGAAAAGATAACTCTTGTAATCCATGGAGTTGGTGGCATGAAGGTTCGGATGAAGACTAAACGTTATCTTCTGAAAATAAGGGTGAGAACCTCCCAGGGAACCTTCAAGTCCCACCAATTGGCGTGCTATGGGTTGGAAAGCATCGCTGAAATTAATAACACAGTGCAACCGAACCAACTGAAAAAATTGTTTCCAGACATACCTCTTGCCGAACTTGCAAGGCCAAAAGTAGTTGACCTGCTTATAAGCCATCGAGAAGGACAGTTGGCTCCACAGAGGATCAGAATTGTTGGAGACCTGGTATTGTGGGATGGTCCACTTGGAAAGACGATTGGAGGAACTCATCCTGAGCTTTTCGAAGATGTGACTGTATCTGCCTACCGGTCCAAGACTCATTTTGCACGATCAATGAGATTGGCTGCTGTTAAATATGAGGAAGTAACTGAGTACAGTCCACCAAACAAACCACTAGCCAGACTCCATGAATCAAGCGTCTCAACCAGTACTCGAGACTTTCTTGAATGGTGGAAGTGGGATTCCATTGGTGCAGCATGTGAGCCAAAGTGTGGGGGTTGTCGCTGCGGGAATTGTCAACCTGGTGGAAAAGAAATGTCTCTTGCTGAGGAGAGGGAGCTGGAGTTAGTAAAAGAAGGTCTCACTTATGTCATGGAGGACAAACACAGCAATGAGCCACATTGGCATGCTAAATATCCTTGGATACAGGACCCAACTTCCTTACCAGACAACAGGCGTGCAGTTGAGGCTACATTTCTGCATACAGAGAAGCAGTTGGCCAAAGATCCTCAGTGGAAAGCAGCTTATAGTGCCCAAGTGAAAGACATGCTTGACAGAGGGGCTGCAGTTAAGCTACCTGAAAGTTCAATTGCTAATTGGGCTGGACCTGTATGGTACGTGAGTCATCTCATCGCTCCAAACCCTCACTCAGTCACAACCCCAGTGAGACTCGTTTGGAATAGCAGCCAGAGATTTAGAGGTGTCAGCATGAATGACCTGTTAATTAAAGGACCAGACGTTCTAAACCAGATACGTGCTGTTCTGCTGAGATTCAGAAGTGGAGTGTATGCTGCATTGGGGGATATTAAGAAAATGTACAACTCTGTTTGGTTGGAGGACCAAGAAGTACATTTGCACAGATTCCTTTGGCGAGACACGGAGAATGAGGAGCTGGGAGAATACGCAATCACAAGAGTCAATATTGGAGACAAACCAGCAGGGTGCATTGCGCAACTGGCAATGCATGAAACTGCTAATTTGCCATCCTTTGCTCACCTTGAAGAGGAACGACGGGTAATCCAACATGACAGCTATGTTGATGATATTCTCACATCTCACAATGACCTTGACCAGCTACAGTCCATTGTGGCAAACACAGAGTTGATCTTGAAAGCTGGAGGATTTCATCTGAAACCATGGGTCTTCTCAGGTCAAAGTGGGAGGGAAAAGTCTGATGATAAGAGCTGTAAGATAAAGGAAAAGGTTATGGTTCTGCCAAACCAATTGCTTGATGATGACAACAAAGCACTTGGCCTAGGCTACTCTGTGGAAGACGACAAGTTGTATGTGATGACAGCCATCAATTTTTCAAAAAGAAAAAAGAAAATTAGACTTGGACAAAACCTAACACAGGAGCAAGTTAGAGCCCAAACACCAAATCCACTGACAAGAAGAGAGCTCTTGAGTCAGGTATCAGGGGTATATGATCCAGTAGGCTTAGTGACTCCAGCCAAACAAAAGGGAGCAATTCTGGTTCGCAGAGCTTTTCAAGAAGCAAAGAATACAAGACTTCAAGTCAATGAAACTTGGGATGTTGCTCTCTCAGATGACCTTAGAGAAGATGCTATCAAACTCTTTGAGGAATACATCCAACTAGGCCAAATTAAATTCACAAGAGCCATAACACCTCCAGAATTTGAAGGACACCCCTGGGCAATAACCTTTTCTGACGGAAGTGAAAACACTTATGGTGCTGTAATGTACTTGAGATGGGACTCAAAACAGGGCCCAGCAATCAGGCTTGTGGAGTCCAAAGCTAAGCTGACTCCTTTAGACCAAAAAGGAGATGCTATCAAGGCAGAGGTGTGCGGAGCTGTGTTCACCTCACGTTTGCGAAAGTACTTTGAGCAGCACAGCCGAATTCAAGTGGAGAGATGGTTCCATTTAGTTGATAGCCAAACAGTACTTGGTGCTATACAACGTGAAAGCTATGGCTACAAAACATTCTTCGCCAATCGGATCGGGGAGATACAAGGAATCACAAAAGCGCAAGAGTGGTGGTGGATACCAGGCCCACAAAACATTGCTGATGTGATAACTAGAGGAGCTAGCCCTCAAAATCTCGATGAAAGTTCAGAGTGGCAAAATGGGCCAAGATTCCTGAGCTTACCAGTAGATGAATGGCCAATCAAGTCAGCTAAAGACTTAGCTATCACTGCCCGAGAAAGCATTAACGAACTTCAAAAGAAAGCGTTTGCAGCTGTATTGACAAGGTCAAAAACAAAGCAAAAGGAGCCGACCATGGAGTCGAAACCAATTGAGAGCCCCAACCTAGTTCGAGCGGAACAAAAAAGACCACCAGCAGGCTTAGCTGTCCTTAACTTGTGTGACATAAAGCGGTTCAGTGACCTGTCACGACTGGTTAAAACAATAGCATGGGTTTGGAGAGCTGCAAAGAAGTTTCTCGGCAAAAAACGGACTGTAAATAAACCAAAGTGGGAGGCAGTCTTGTCATTAGGAACCATTTCAGTAAGAGAAAGAGAAGATGCTCTACGAGATATTTTTCTTGCTGAGCAGGATGGGGTGACCTTTCCAAACACCACTAAAGAGAGGTTAGTTGTCTTTAAAGATCCAGACTCTGGATTGTTGGTCTGCGGTGGTAGGGTGCAGGTCTTTCAAGATGATCAGCTGAGTGTTCCAATTCTTCCTTCCAATTCATGGATTTCCACATTACTAGCTCAAGAATCTCACAAGGAGAGCCACGGAGGCTTGGCTGAGACTCTGCTTAGAATGCGAAGGAGAGCCTGGGTATTAAAAGGCAGAAGAATAGCACAAAAAGTTGTAGACAGCTGTGTACAATGTAGGAAGAACAAAGCAAAAAAGTGTCAGCAAGTAATGGGTGATCTTCCTTTAGAAAGAACCCAACCAGCTGCACCTTTCGAGTTCACAGCATTGGATCTTTTCGGACCTTACCATGTGAAAGATGATGTCAAGAAAAGAGTCTTGCTGAAGGTCTGGGGTGTTGTTTTTTGTTGTATGTCGAGCAGGGCAATCCATACAGAACTGGTTAACTCTCAGTCAACCGAAGGTTTCTTACTGGCCTTTCAAAGATTTGCTACAATTAGAGGCTATCCCAGAAAGATTTTTTCAGATCCTGGTACCAATTTCATTGGAGCAAGACCAGTTTTGCAAGATCTGTACCAATTCCTGGAGGGAATTGACAAATCTACCCTGGAGGAAACAGCAGTAAAACATGGAACTGAGTGGATCTGGAAGATTCACCCAGCTGATTCCCCACATAGAAATGGAGCTGCTGAAGCTGCAGTGCGCATTATCAAGAGGGCACTCCAAAACTGCGGAGGGGAGTCCACCCTCACATACAGTGAAATGCATACAGCCCTTCAAATAGCAGCTAATCTTGCTAATGAGCGACCAATCGATGCCAGGGCACAAACTCAGGAAGGCTGCATTCAATATGTAACGCCAAATTCGCTATTGCTCGGACGAGCGTCTCAAAGTGGTGACATTAAAACTTTTGACTTTTCCAGCTATCCCTTCAAAAGACTCCAAGCAATGCAGTCATTGGTAAATAAGTTTTGGGAACGTTGGAGCCAGCTTGCAGGTCCTAATTTGTTCATAAGGAGCAAGTGGCACACCACGCACAGAAATGTCGCAATTGGAGATATTGTCTGGATCGCAGATCAGAATGCACTCAGAGGACAATTCAAGCTTGGCAGAGTAATCAGTGTCAATCCAGACAGTAAAGGTGTCGTAAGAGATGTAAATATACGAACATTCCCAAGTTACCCTGTTCTGATCACAAAACCATCTAAAGCAAGGGCAAATTCTTCGGAGTCCAAAATCGGTCGAGAGAAGATCCCGAGTACTGTCCTTCACAGAGATGTCAGACGGCTAGTTGTTCTACTTTCTGCAGAGGAACAAAAGAGTAAATAATTCAGAGAACATCCTTTTGAAAGCTAAAAGTAATCGAACTAAATAGTTTGCCTTCAAAGAGATGCGATTTCCTCTTTATCCCAAGAAAATCGAGTGGGAGGTGTCAAGTCAAACTAATATAGAAGGAGAAAAAAAATCCATCCGCCAGTCGGAGGGAGAGGCGGAAGGACATGCAGTAGTTCGGCATTCACGTAAGGAAAAAGGAAACTGAAACCTAACCAGAACAGAATCTCCGCCAAAACGAAACCTCCGCCAAAGCCGAATCTCCGCCAAAATTGAGCAAAAGAAAGTGCACAACAGTTAAAAAACCATCATCAAGTCCCGAAGTGGCAGCCGGTGAGAACTTTACTTTGGTTATTGCAAGAAAATCGTGACTGTCATGTCAGTATTTGAGGGCAAATCAACCGTGAAGCAGCATCTGAGTTCAAGTTCGGCACAGAGGAAAAAGTTGCTCCTACAGTGCTTATCTGCCCGCTGCTTAATTACTTGAAGATACAAATAGTTATTTGCAAACTAGAAAATGTTATAAAGCAGAAATGTATAGTTTTGGTTATTTTGATCATCATTTGAGTGCTGTCTGACTGACGTTAAGATGTTAATTTTCCTCCGTGATTCATATGCATGCATGAGCAGATCACGTGCACATAAGCTGATTGCTGCAGTAGCAAAATTAATCGCATTTCATTTATATGTCTTAAAACTAAATATTTAAGTTCAGTATATTAAACTGTACTGGTGATTGTGCTTTAACAAGTGATAATTCAGTATAATACTTGAAAATACTGTGTGAAAAATCAGACAAAATTTACAAATGTTTGTATATATATGTTTATTTGCAATTTAATTACATATGTTGTATTTTTGTTTATTTTAAAGGTTTTTCACCTTTCAACTTTCAACTTTCAACTTTCTACTTTCAACTTTCCAACGTTATACTTTTTACCTGCCTTTCTGCTGCATTTATGATGCAATAAATGGATGAGTGGAATCCAGTTAAAACTCCCTTGATGATGTGTTTTCCTTTCAAGCGGGAAAACTTGTGCATAAGAGAATAGCTTGACATTATTTATTTTTTAATGTTTCAATTTATTATTATTCTTTATTATCTATGTAGTTTTTTTTTGTTATGTAATTTCAACAGCCGCTTCGAATATTATCACTCCATTAAATGAGTGTTATCAGTGGTTATAAGCTGATATGGGCCAGTAGGGGCCTTCTGCGCCTACTAGTAGGCTGTTATCATCCATCCTCATGGTTAATCAAGTATAGATTACATACGGCTGCTGCCAGAAGTTAACAAGAATTATTTATATAATTTATTATTAATTTCCCATTAATTTTATTTTATTAACGTCTACCACTGCCCCAATCCTAAACCCAACCGTCACAGTAATGTAAAAACAAATCTGGAGTCTTCTCTATTAGTATAACTGATTAACCACGAGAATTATTTATATTTTTTTATTAAATTTCCCATTAATTGTATTTTATTAACATCTACCCCTACCAAAACCCTAAACCCAACCGTCACAGTAATGTAAAAACAGCTCTGGATGTGGAGCCTTCTCTATTAGTATAGCTGATTAACCATGTGGATGGATGATAACTGCCCCACTGGCCCATATCTATCAAATAACCACTGATAACGGCCATTCAATCGAGTGATAACATTCAAAGCGGTTGATTTCAATATGGAATCGTGTGCTGTTCTGTATGCTGCATTGTTATTATACGCCTAGTTGTTGGAAAAATAATCTATAGATATATTTCATATACATTTCATTTATTATATTACATAAATATTACACTTAAAGCATTTAAATATATTTTTAGAAAATATGATGCCAATGTTTTAACTTCAGAGGACTAAGAAATCAATAATTAGAGAAACAACAGTAAATCACCACGAATGAAAACATGTTGCCAGACCTTTACAAAATAAAACAAATATTAGAAAGTAAAGCTGCGACCCACCGTTGGCCGTAACCGTCCCGTCCATCAGCAGCAGACATGCGATCAGATTCAGGACTGTTGACCCGTCGGTACCTGATCGAGTGAACCTGCATCCCTGGAGAGTCCAAACCTCCCCTTTGTGGCGAAACAGGACACACACCCCGGCTACCGTCCTCTTCTTGACCTCCCTAAAACATACAACCAGAGTGATTTATAAAACTGTAAATGAACTAAATGTTTGATTAGCTTTTAAACGTGTGTAGTTGCATTTGAGTGGACTTTATTCACTGGCACCTTTCCAAGGTTAATCCTGAGTTTGTTGCGGTTGAAGTCTGTCTCCTCCCATCCGTCTGCATCTGTGGGCATCTGGCTGCCATCAACTGGCCGTCCAGAGGGAATTGGAGGGGCGTTTTCCTGGTCACTAAGGTGCTCATCCTGTACAACATCATCTGTGTTTTCCCTTGGAAGGTCACCTGGCATCGGGGTCACATTTATAACCCTGAGGGACCAAGAAAAGAAAAATCAATATTATTTCAAAAGGAGAAAAAAAAATGATCAAGGTGACCCAGAATGGCCTTGTTTTTGTGGAAATCAAAGGTTGAAGTCAAAATTATTAGCCCTAATCTGGAACCACTAGTGCAGGGGTCGGCAACCCGTGGCTCTAGAGCCGCATGCGGCTCTTTAGCGCTGCCCTAGTGGCTCCCTGGAACTTTTTCAAAAAATGTTTGAAAATGGAAAACGATGAGGGAGGTAAATATATTTTTTGTTTTAATATGGTTTCTATAGGAGGACAAACAATCTTAACGTTTTCCAATGCTGTAAAAGTGTGTAGAATATTTAATTTCAACATTTCTGTCAACGAAGATTTGCGTCATAGCCTGCGACACACGTTTCTATCAGCAGGGCGGGATGCCAGGCAGGTAGCTGTTGTAAACAAACCGGCGGCTGTGTGATGCGCCATGGAGCGCAAGCTGTCTTTGCCAAAGATGTACAGCGGGGCACGCTTTCTCATTTTCCCTCCCTGAGAGAATTCAAAGAAGCCCATCTCGATCACTCACTCAACGGTGATTATTTACAAGGTGCGATCGTTGATATGCAAACTGCATTTGGGAGCAGACTTTGCGAGTTGCGAAAGGAAAAAACGAGACTGTCTTTCCTTGACACACACCCCTGGAGATTGACCCTTCCTTGTTGAACACATTCCCAGGAATGACTCGAGCTGATCTTGAAATGGAAATGGCAGGCTGCGTTTTATTGCACTGTTTGTTGCTCAGATAAGGGGCACGTTGTGCACGTTCATTTTGATGTTGTTTTTTTGAATCCTCAAAATAAAAATAAAAAACATTAAAAAATCTGATTTCTTTATTGCATTTCTTTAATTTCATCAAAGCAAAACATAATGCAATAATATTGTAATGAAGTTAAACTTGAACATTAAACATAATGCATTAATATTGTAATGAAGTTAAACTTGATCATTAAACATAATGCATTAATATTGTAATGAAGTTAAACTTGATCATTAAACATAATGCATTAATATTGTAATGAAGTTAAACTTTATCATTAAACATAATTCATTAATATTGTAATAAAGTAAACTTGATAATTAAACATAATGCATTAATATTGTAATGAAGTTAAACTTGATCATTAAACAATTCATTAATATTGTAATGAAGTTAAACTTGAACATTAAACATAATTCATTAATATACTGTAATTAAGTTAAACTTGAGACGGCATCGTACAACAGAGTAGTCACGTGGCGCGTCATTTTCTACAGGATGCACTGCAGGGAAATGAACATTTAACCATAAAGGCTCAGTAAGTATTTGTAGCCAACGAAGTCATTTTTATAGTATGCTAATATAGCTAATTTAAATACATACAGCATGTGTTGCCATCATTATAAGGCTTATATAAAGCTTTTAATTTTTTGCGGCTCCAGACATATTTGTTTTTGTTTTTTTTGGTCCAATATGGCTCTTTCAACATTTTGGGTTGCCGACCCCTGCACTAGTGCATTGAAAAAGAAAATGGAAGGTGGAACTAGAGATTGAATTACAGAAGACATGTGGCAATCTGTTTAATATAATATTCACTCATCTTCAATTTGTTTAAAACATAGAGTTATACAGTTTAAAGTAGTACACAGATTGCATTGGTCCAAAGTGAAACTAGCAAAATTTTATCCGAATATAGAGCCTAATTGTGACTGATGTAATATTGAGCCAGCTACAATGTCTCATATGTTTTGGGTTTGTTCAAAATTAAAGGATTTCTGGCAGCTAATATTCAAATTTCTTTCTGACACTTAAATACCTACAGTGCATAGAACCTAAGGTCATAATTTCATTATTTGGTATCACACCACAGTCCTTATGTTTTAAATGAAGTAATATAAATGTGATTGCCTTTACTACGCTTTTAGCTAGAACAGAGTATATACAGGAATCAGACAGTGAAATTCAATACCTTTTTAAGACTCTTTCCATACATTTTAAGACCTTATAACCACTTTAGGTTTTAACTGAAAACACTTGCGAGATTTTAACTTATAGTATATTTACTAAATTTTAATGTAAGAAACTAATCCAAAACTAAAACATTATTCATATACTGAATAAAAATCTATTAAATTTGTGCCTATAGCGCTGCAGAAATAATGGTGTTGCCTTGATTTACAGTAAACAAAGCAGCATGAAGTCCAATCTAGTAGGATTTCATTGATTTTATGAACTACACCGCATCCTGATATATGCAGATTTAATTCAGGCATAGCATACAACCATTCATTGCATAATCAAAAATTATATCAAATTTAATATCTTGCAAAATATTAATTAAGAGTTTTTAATACTTTTTAAGAGCCTTAAATTTCTCTACATTGACTAATTAACTTTTAATAATTTTCAAGGCTCCGCGGACACCCTGTAGAAGGTTAATATTGTTCAAGTGGAAGGAAAAATTTCCTCCAACCTTTAAGCAATGGCTTATGGATGAATACGATATACTGTAAGAGGTTGTACTGATATGTTTTTTCTCACTTGACAACCTGTTTTAGATCACATAAAGAAGATAAAGCCTTCAGTTACTTTAGAATGTAAAAACCTTACTGTTTTTTATTTTATTTTTCCTTTTCTTTCATTTTATATTTAAGAGTACAATATATTTAACTTGATATTATTATTTACTTGTATTTTATTTTAATATTATTCATTTATTTTTATACAACCTATATATATATACATATGTGATGGGTTTTATTTGTTCATTGTTTTATTTGTGCATGTTTTATATTTAACATGTTCAATAAAAAATATTAGCCCTCTTTTAATTTGATTTCTTTTTCAAATATTTCCCAAATGATGTTAAATAGAGCATGGAAATTTTTCAAAGTATTTCCTATAAAAAAAAATTTTCTTTTTCTGGAGAAAGTCTTAATTGTTTTTTTTTTTTTGGCTAAAATGTAATAAGTTTTAGCTGCTTGAATCATTTAAATGTCAATATTATTAGCCCCCTTTAGCAATATATATATATATTTTTTGGATTATCTACAGACCAGAGACGTTGCTTGACAAAAAGCTCTACTGGGGCAAGGTCCTTCTCAAACAACAAAACAATATAGTTTTTTGAGCAATAAAAAATATTTATTATAAATAAATAAAAGTATTATTATTATTAATATACAATTATTATTCTAAATAAACAACAGAAATGATCCTAAATGTAACTGGAAAACACAACTGGAGCGATATGCTAAAATCATTTAAGAAATATTTTGCATAAATATTAATTTCAATATCATTAAATTCTAAGGAAAACAAAAAAAGATGTTTCATAGAATTATCTGTTGTCTTAGACTTGACACATGGCAGAGTTTTATCATCCCTTCTTTTTGCTTCATACAAAAGAAATCTATCAGGAGCCATGCTTAGTCTAAATAAGATTAAATCATACACCGCTGGTTTCACCAAGCATGAACAATACACACTTTTTCTTTACTAGATTTAAACTGGAAGCAGAGCAGGGCATCATCAACAA